GGGCGATATGAGCATATCCTAGGCCTCTGTTTACTGCATCAGATACTGGGTCCAAAGAAGAACGGCAATACTCCTTGAACTATTTCATCTGAAGTACAGAGAACAGCAGATCAAAATGTGGTGACAGCTTCCTTTCAGACAGAATTCAGCTCGGACTCCAAAAGTATTAATTTCACAGACGATTGACATACTTCGGAGTCCTGAAAAAACTATTTAGTGGTTTGAGGTGAGCCTCTAAATGATAGTATGAGGTGGGAGGCTTGGTAGAGTTAAAAATAAACAAAGCCAGGTACATGAAAAATTGCCTTCCTTTATAGTGACAAAACACTAAGCATACTCAAACACTGACAGGATGAAACAACATTCATGTGATGGTTTGGGAGATCCACTCATTCAAACAGGTAATAAAAGCTCGTACAATAGATCCACGACATTTAACAACTAAAGTTAAAAACAAAATATATTTACAGAAGTAATACATTATAGTATAGCTGTACTTTTAATAGGATTGTTGAATGATGTGACACCTCCTGACAGTTTGTCACTCATTAAGTTAATCACATTTCATTAAAATTTGAAATAACTAAAAATATCCAGTCTTAATGATACAATCAGCATATCGGTTGTGTTCCTCAAGGATAATCATTGGAATATCATGTGGGCCATAATGGCTTAATCTCAAAAGGAATTTTTTAAAAGCATAAAATTGAGGATATACAATGATAACTTTGGTAGATAAAAAAAGGCATTACAGACACTAGTCATCCATTATCTTTGCCTTTGGAACAAAAAACATTGAATGCAACCACAGCTACTGCTGGGTATAACTACACAGGGACGGGGGACATATCAATTACACAAATACACACACAGTGGCCTTATTGGTCAACACTTATTACAGGTAAACAAAAAGGGTGTGCAAAACTTGACATCAATTGCCAAAGACACACAGATGCATAGTTGGAGTATTTATTTTAAGTTAACATTTAATTTGTTGAAAATTTATGCTAATGAGAAAATCACAAGATTCTTATGGCTGGTGCTAATTTTCCAGACATTTAAACAACATTTACCTACACATCTATCTACAATATCACTAAGTATTTTATCTGGTGAAAACTTCAAAAATAATGTTAATGAGTCAGTGCCAGAGAAATTTAACTGAGAATCTGCTGTCTCACTACAAACAAACTAAGAAAGTACACTGTCTTGGAATGTTGACATATCAGGATAATAAACACCAGAATAAAATACTTCAGTGCGTATTAAAAAACAAAAAATAAAATAAAATTTAATGAGCACCAGCCATAATATCTTCCATTTAACTTGAGCAAAAACTACTGCTACAGGGCACTGATGAAAAATTGCTACAAAAGACAACTCATCAGAGCTCTGTCACATTTTCTATCAGATGAGCTATGAATTTTAACTTATGGCAGGCTACACAGTCAAACATAATATCCAGCCCATATGTGACAATAAGTATAACACACAAAAGCTTGCACACCCTCTAAAGAAACACAACCAAGAATGGAGAGAAAAGTTTGTTCTCTTTGCATACTTCAGTCAAATCATCATTTTGATTAATGCAGCATAGTTTTATTGCTAGCTACACACACAAATAACCATTAATGGAATGAATGTAAAGGAAAGAGCAAGAATGCAGGGCTTGGAAGACATTCACATTTAATTTAGAAAAACAAAGAAGTGAGAGACAGTAAAAAAACTGATAATATTCGGCATATACTGCTGTAGAAAGATCAAAGCTGATAGAAAGAGTCAATCCTACACAATTTGTGATATTAGGACGAATCACACAAGTTAATTATGGCAAGTTCGTCTCTACGTATCTCCTCACAACGCATCAGATCCACGTCAGTTGCCGTGCACTTTGGCAATGTGTCTAGCCAGGCACTCCTGGCAAGTGTCCTGAGAGCAACTTTGACAACAATTGAGCAAAATCAATAATGCCCCAGTAATGTACTTGAGCGATAAAAATGCCCAATGTCCACTTTAGTTCAAGTTTGTACTTTAAAGCCAATGAATCCAATTAACTGAAGTTACTTCAGCTAAATATGAGGCAGCTAATGGCATCCTCTTCTTCAAACACAACTCATCACAGATATGGGGGAGTTACACAACTGTGCACACACACCAGCACTGGTTTCAAAATGTTAAATGAAGATGCACTTGCTGCAAGATATGACGACGCTTCGCGCCCCGGGCCTAGCAACGCAACTCTAACGTAGCAGTGTTAGATTGCGGCCCCAGCCCGGGGCTTGGTCGCCATCAGGGATTCGACTCAGCTGCCATGATATTGTGCACCTGCTCAAATTTGTATGCAAGTCGTTGCTTCTGTGAGAATTCATCTTCTTCCAGAGTGACAGTTAATTGTTCATTGTACTTTATAGCATAACTATAAAGCTCATGCAAAGCACAATTGGTATTGAACTCTGTTGTGTGTATCTAGAAACAATAAAATAAAACATGTTAGAAAAAAAATCAATTTGTGACCACAGGGAGTTTAGTTTGTTTGTACTTACTCTGGACTCTTCTGCAAGCATGGCATTCATATCTTGATCAGATATTGCTGGCATCATTTTAATATCACCATAATACCTCTCAACCCACTCCTTATAAATTGGAATATCTTTTGCATACAATAACTTGGAGCTTGGTGAGTCTTTGCCTACAATTGTGATAGAAAATATTCATTTGTTAGATATAGTTTACATAAGATTCCTATCATCATCAGGCGCTTCAGTTGCTCGAATAAAAAAAAACAAAAAACAACTCAAGTTACAGTTGATTCAGTAATTAATTGTTCAGGAACCTACCAAGTCTGTGATCTGATGTTGAACAAGAGTCCATGAAAGTCTGTGCAACAACTGAGAGACATGAATCCACAATGTTTGATTTATAAATATCAAAAACAAAGTTTGGATTCTTTATTAGGTTAACCCAAAAACGAAGGGGTAAGCTGAAAAAAAGGAATTGGAATGTTAAATGAAAAGGATATGATAAACTATTAGGCAAATTATTCAAAATTTATGATGCAAGTAATTTATTACAAGATAGAGAAAAATTCATACCTATTGCTCTTCCAAGTGTGAACAACCTCAGGATCAGAGATTCCATGCTGAAGAGCTTGGTCGTCTAGGAAATCAAACATGTACTTGATGGCCAGTGGTAGAGCTGACCCACGGTGAGCCGTACTAAATATTGTCTCAAATAAGTCGTCAACAAACTTCTGGAGTGTGCCCTGTTTTAAAATAGAACATGATAATGTAATCAGTTATTTTCTATGTGATACCAAAAGTCATTTTGATTTATCTTTGAATACAACATGCAATTATGTAAGTTCTAAGAAGCCAGTTGCTACTCATACTTACTTTGGTAGCCAATAATCTGGTAAGGTAAATTTCTGACACCATTTTATTTCCCCTCTCTCCTTCTTTCTGTGCATCAGTGTCATGATGCTTGACTAAATGCCACGTCTGCAAAAAAATATACAGATTTACACAATTAATTTTTTTTTTTAATCTAAGTGGGAAATACGGTAATGAGGCA